GCGCACGTCATGCTTGAACTCGTCCAGACCCCGCTACGCGCTGCTCCGTCGGCATTTGTCTGGTCATCCTCCTCGGCTCCTCCAGTCTTGATGGTACTGGAGACCAAGAGACGTAGTCGTGCTTGTCGGGCTTCTCCAGGGAGTGCGTCGTTTGGCTGGAACTGCCGTGGGCTTGCTTGCATTGCTCGCATGCCCTGCGCCGCCCCCAGGAAAAGCAGCCCCCTCCTCCCCCGCAGTCCCTCTCGACAAAATACTCGTGCCAGGGAGGTGGTGTTGGTGGTGGAGCTGGTGGTGCTGCTGGTGGTCGTTGTGCTGGTGGGTCGATGATACCTTCCTCTTCTTTGGCGTCAACTGGGGCCATCGCCGCGTCGCCGTCTTCGTTGGTGTCGGGCGTTGGCGTTGGCGTGCGCACTGCTGGTCGTGATAATGCTGGCGTGCCCCATGATGACGCACTGCGCCCTGTCGGTAGGACGTCGTGAAGACCCCCGTCTCGGTGGAGCAAGACGAACAAGTATGCCGCTCTTGGAGGTGCAGATCTGGTCTTTCACAGGCCTAGCAGATCGGCCCGCGTGAACCATGTCTGCGTCGAGCTTCTAGACACGTTCGAAAAAAAATTGAAATCATCTGGCCGTTGCCCAAGGTTGAACTTCGCTGGGCGTAGCCCAGTGCTCCGGTCACTTGAGCAGCCACCATCGCGTTGGATGTCGGCGGGGACTACGCGAGTAGCAGGAACTTCCAATCGACTGTTCCCGGACGGTCTATGCAGCAAGCGACCGCCTACAGGACCCGCAACCGAATCAACGCGCGCGGGATATTACCCAAGCGTTTCAGCTTCGCGGAGCCGGTGCCAAGCAAGAGCTAGTGTGCGACCTTGCACATTGATGAAAACACCTGGTGGATTGGGGCCCTTAATCAAGATATCGACGTCGGGCTCGCGGATGATGGGGGCCGCAGTGACTTCTGCGGCGTAGGCCACGGCGCGCTTCGTCTTCAGGTTTCGCTCTGTCATCCCTTCGTCGGAAAGAAACGATGCCACGCTCGAAATTTGAGGCCACAATGACACGTACTGCCGTTGTCTTCAAAACTGTATCCGGCACCTCCTCGTCATCCTTGACTCCCGAAAGGAGCCCTGAGCGGCGTGGTGGTGTCGCCCCCGGATCTATGAGTTGGCGCGTAGTCGGTCTCGATCCCGCGGCCATCTGCCGGCTCTGTGAGCCAGTTGTGGTTCGGGCGGCCTGGCCCCTCGAAAAATGGACCCTCACGAGAATGGTGCCCCTCTGGGAGGGACTGAAGCCCTCTGCCGACTCTGTAGGCCAGTTATGGTGCGGGGGCCCTGGCCCCTCGGAAAGTGGCAACCCTCACGAGGATGGTGCTCCTCTGGACCAGTTTTGGGTCGGGCGCCCTGGCCCGTCGGAGCGTGGCGACCCTCACGGGGAATGGTGCCCCTCTGGAGGGACTGAAACCCTCTGCCAGCTCTGTGGGTCAGCTGTGCCTCGGGCGCCCCGGCCCTCGGAAAGTGGCAACCCGCACGAGGATGCTGCCTCGGGCGCGCTGGCCCCTCAGAAAGTGGCAGCTCTCACGAGGACGGTGCCCCCTCTTGAGGGGCGGAAGCCTCTGCCGGCTCTGTGGGCCAGTTGTGCTTCGTGCATTCATCTTTGGGGTCGTGTTGGGGTAATTCTGTCCTCCCGGCGCCCGCCATCCTGCCCCTGGTCGTTGTTGGCTGCTGTGGCGTTCAGGCGCTCTGCCAGGACAGTCCGCGCCTAGCATCCCTGACTTCACGTGCGGAGGCTCACCTGGTAAGCTTTGGGTTCCTTGGGCTTGCCCTTCTGGGACATCCTGTCTTCCTGGCGCCCAAATCCTGTCAAAGGACTTCGCCTCCAGGCGCCTGCCTCTCCACGGCCTGCGAGCACCGTTGCAAGTCCGACCTGTCCACGGACCTCCGGCGCCTGCCGTCCACATTCACCTGTCCAAAATCGACCTCGCCACGATCCGGCTCATGCCTAGCGCTGCCTGTCGCAGCCGCGCCTCTGCGCCTTGCACTCCTACGGCATATGCCCACGATGGGCTTCGCGATCTGAATGGCTCCCGCCTCTTCTTTTCCCTCCCTCGCGTCCTCCTCCGTGCCTCAATTGGGTCCCGGCGCGACCCGCCCGTAGCCCGACCGGCGCCTGGCGCCCGCACCTGCTTCGACTCGCTTGCGCCCGCTGAATCAAAAATGTTTGCGTGAGGTTGCCGCATCGGGGGTATGCTTGGCCACGTGGAGCCGTCTTGGGGCGTTCTCGAGGCCTCTTGACGGCATTCTAGAATTCGTGATCTGCCATCTGAGACTGAGTCGTACCATCTTTCAGGTCATCTTGAGCATCTCTATTGGAGCCATGCTGGGCTAACTTGGATAGTCTAACCGCTCTCCCCCTCGTTCAGGCGCAGGGTTAGGGGATAGGGCTAGGGATGAACTTTCCGACGGGAATGCCACACTCTGTCTCGCTCACTCCAACCCGCCCAGCCGCTATGGCACTCGATACACAGCATAGGCAGAGGGCGCCAGCGGCTGGACAGGCATCGGATATAGATACAGACGCTGATTGCGCGACGCTCGCAGGGTGCGCCACTCGTGCCAGTTGCGCCACGCGCAACAGGTGCGCCAGAGACCCAGGGGGGCCCAAGCGCGCCAGACGCTCCTGGTGGTGACCCTGGTGCGCCAGATGTGCCACGGGCCCCACATGCTCCAAGCGCGCCAGGTGAAGAGTGCGGCCGGCGGCGACAGGTGCGCCAGTGCAAGTGATGGCACACCTTGGGCAATATGGCGACGCCACCACGGTCCCAGTCAAAAGCACAAGCAAAGTGGCGGCGGGGCGGCCATCATGGCGCATTGCGTGCGCACCCGCAATTAGCCTGCATCCATTGGCTTTGGAAACAAACAGTGGAGGCGCCCAGCGGAGGAATACGCTCACACCCCCGCTGCCTCAACCAAACGCCAATGCAACGTAATTGCGGGGTGCCCGCTGAGGATCAAGATTCTGCCACCACGTGCACGTCGTTTTATGTCTTGACTGGGATGGTGAAGGGAAGCTTACTGCTCTCGGTCAGCGGCCCGTCGAAGGGGGGATATGGGGTGTGCAACTCCCCAGGGGCAGTGCTAAAAGCCCCTCCCCGAGGGGGAACAGGACGGCTGGAATAGTAACCACTTCAGACGACCTGCGCTTGCCCAGGGTGCTCATGACCAGAATCCGGAAGCGGACCCAGCTGTGGCGACAAGGGGCCTCCTGAGGGCGCAGGACACGTCAAAAAGCGCGCAAAACCCTCGACCCTCGACCCGCCGTCGCCCGCCCTCGACGAACGCGCAGGCCGCCACCCCAGGCCCTGCCGGGCCTCGGAACTGAAAGAGCGGTCCTGTGGACGTTTCTATTAATGTGGGATGGCGATTAAGAAAAAAAGGAGGGGGGAACGATTAGAAAAATAGTTTCCCACACCGGGGGGGAACGCTCAGAAGCAGGGCTCGCCTGTGCGGTGTTTCGTCACCGGAGGGGGCGCGCGCCCGAGGACGGCGGGGGGGGGGCGATTAAAAAAATAGTTTCCCAGCCCGAGGTCGGTTTTTTCTAATCATCAACCCGGGCGCCGCCGCGTGAACACGACCCCCGGTCATTTTTTAATCGTCATCCTCCATTATCGTTCCCGCTTGCGATGCCAGCTTACATCCCAGAGGGGGTCCACGCTGATGGGGCCGAAGCATCGCACCGCATCGCCGATGCATCGGCGGTGCATCGGCGGCGACGTCGGCGCTGCATCGGCGCCGTCGGCGTGGAGAAAATCGGGCTCCACATTGAGCCGCGTCGGCGATGCGCCGCGATCCTCCGACCCCATCTGGCCGCGCGAACAAGGGGGGGAGGGTGGAGGGGGGAAGGCTCTTCTAAAAAACAAGTGTGCTTCTAAGAAACCTTTCCCTCTTACCCTACCCCCCCTGCGCGGGGCCGACCCAAGGGGAAGCGGGTCCTGAGAAACGGGTCCTTGTACCCTGGCGCCTTCCCCCGGGACGAGCACTTCATCCTGCGTCGTTTTCTGACGGTCCTGAGGCCCGTGGAGGGCGCCGAGAGCCCAAAAATGGCGAAAAACCTCAGGGCCCGGTTTCCTCAGGACCCGCTTCCCTCATGGCGAATCTGTTCCGACCCCATCTGGGAGGCCTGGATGGTCGGTGGAGACACGGGCACCACCGCCACCGACAACCTAGTCGGCTCGGGGGGAGGGGGGTCGGACCCCTGCGCGGTGGACGCCCGAGTGCCGCACGGCATACCAAACGACGCCCCAGGGGAGGTGGTCCCCGCCCCGATGGCGTATAAGTCCGGGCGCCAACATGGACTATAAGGCATCGAGAACATGTTTTTTGTCGCGGCGATGACGGGTGTTATGCGGGCGGAGGGGGGGGGGGGGGGCATACCGCAACGCCCCCGCATGCCCGGTGGACGCCCGAGCGCCTCTCGGTACCGCACGACGGCCCAGGGGATGGTCCCCGCCCCGATGGCGTCTCGGTCTGGGCACGTGCCACCATGGATTGGGCATCGAGAGCATGTGTTTGGCGGCGGTACAGTCACCCCGTACAGTAAGGATGCGCGATAAGGATGCAAGGGCCTTGGACGCCCATTTCGAAGTTTTCGAGCGGGGCGAGACCAGCGAAAGCGGCCAAGGACAGGCCGAGAATGCAAGGATGCAAGGGTACCCTTGGGAAGGTTGCCCATCCTTACTATGCGGGTTAACTGTAACAGGCGCTATGGGGGGGGCGGGGGGGGCCCACGTAACGCCCCCCCTCCCTCGCCCTGTGCGTCCGGCACCACAAGCTTTGGTGCTGGACGCGCTGCGGCAATGCTGGGGACGCACAGGGGGGGGGGTGGAGGCGCTGGGTCACGGGGGAGGGAGAGAGGGGGGCATTACGCGCACTACGGCCCAGCTTGTACACAAACACGCTCTCATAACGTGGACGTGGCGAGTGGGCGCCCGATCGACGGAGCGGGGAGAGCACTCCCCGAAGCATGGCGCCAGTGCCGCTTCACCTTGGCGACGAGGCGCGCCGATCTCGTGTGGACATAGGGCCCGTCGCCAATCCTCGCTCCTTGATCAGCGGTTTCGTCCTCTCGTCGGTGGCGGTGGCCCCCGCTTCTCCTCGGGCGTGCTGGTGCTGCCCCCCTCTCACGTCTCGGCGCCCAAGGCCGCCTTGCCCTCGCGGGGGCAGGGGCGGCTGAGGGGGGAGAGGGGCTCCTCCTTCCTCCGTCCTCCGTCCTCCGTCCTCCTCCTCCTTCCTCCTCCTCCTTCCTCCTCCATCACGCGTTTGGAATATGGCATTGAAATGTTTGCAGGTGTATAGGGCAATCCCAACTTCGGAGATTAGGATCCGCTTGCAAGTTACCTATTTCCAAAGCTCGTCAGGAGTATCTCGACCGAATTCGGCGTGACGAGTTTCCCAAGTGCAAGTAGCCTGTCTCGAGCAATGGCTTGAGCTGTGGATTTTTTTTATTTTCGCTACGCTAAGGCTGTAATTCCTGCAATTCCTCCTCATTCCTCCTCCCTCCTCCTCCTCCTCCTCCTCCTCCTCCTCCTCCGCCTCCTCCTCCTCCTCCTCCGCCTCCTCCTCCTCCTCCTCCTCCTCCTCCGCCTCCTCCTCCTCCTCCTCCTCCTCCTCCTCCTCCTCCTCCTCCTCCTCCTCCTCCTCCTCCTCCTCCTCCTCATCCCCCTCCTCCTCCTCGATCCTCGATGCTCCTCTTCCACAATCTGGGGAGAGAAGGGACGGGGAGGGGTGGGGGCCCGGCCTGGGGCACCACGGTCTGTCTGTCTGTGTCGCTGAGTCTGTCTCTGTCTCTGTCCCTCTCTCCTGCTCTCTCTCTCTCTCTGCCTCTCTCTCTCTCGCTCTCTTGCTCTCTCTCTCTCTCTCGCTCTCTCTCTCTCTCTCTCTCTCTCTCTCCCTCTCTCTCGCACCCCAGGGCGCGGCCACAGCGGGTCAGGGCCCGCCACGGACTCGCGCACGCTCTCGCGAGGCATGCCGCCCTCACGGCGGCTGGCCTGGCGTCATCTCTCTCCCTCTCTCTCTCTCTCGCTCTCTCGCTCTCTCTCTCTCTCTCTCTATCCCTCTCTACTGATGCATTCGTTGCTCTCTCTCTCTATCGCTATGTACCTGCCACTCGTGTATTGGCCTCCCTTGCGGACCTACGCGCTAAAGCAGCCACGCTGGCAGGCCAACCGCCTCTGTCTCTGCCTCTTTCCCTCTCGGCCTTTTTTTGTTTTGTTTTGTTGCCCCTCTCTTGTGTTTTCGTGGTCTTTCTCTCTCTCTCTCTCTCTACTAACTGATGCGTGGCTCCCCCTCGCTGCATCTGCCTGCCACCTGATGATGGGCCCCCCTGGCCAACCTGCGCGCTGCTCACCATAGCCGTGCGGGCAGGCCTGGCGCCACCGCGTGCAGCGTCGTCGCCGTCTGTACACCCCCGCCCTTCGCCCGCCGCTGGTCGCCGCCTCCGGCGTCACCGCCCCGTCTGTGCCTCCTGCCTCCCCCCTGAGCAGGGACCGACCGCCCCGGCACCCCTGCAGGCCCACCACGCATTGCAACACGTGTTGGCAGGCCTATGGGCAAGCCGGGACGCTTCGCCACTGCTTGATCCCCGCCTCTCGCTTCTCTCCTCCCCCTCCACTGTCCCCCCTCCCCCCATCTGGCTCTCCAGACATCCGTCGTCGTCCTCATCCTTCTCCTTCTCCTCCTCCTCCTCCTCCTCATCCTCCTCCTCCTCCTCCTCTTCCTCCCTCCTTCGCCCCCTCTGGTTCCCACTCGTCCCTTCTCCTTCACCTCCTTCTCCACCTCCTCCTCCTCCTCCTCCTCCTTGCTCTTGCTCCTGCTCCTCCTCTTCCTTCCTCCTCCTCCTCCTCCTCCTCCTCCTCCTCCTCCTCCTCCTCCTCTTCATTCTCTGCCATCTCCTCCACCTATTCCTTCTTTCTCCTCCTCCCCTTCGAAGATCCGCTGGACCTCTCAACGGGTGCGTTTTGACCAGAATTGCGATGCGGATCCAGCGGGGGTTGCGAAAACGATCCCATCCTGGAAGCCCACAAAAGAACACACCAACCTCTGAAAACTTGAAGCTTCGATCCTCGACCATCACTCCTCCTCCAAGCACTCTCCCTCTCCCTCCCTCCTGCTATTGACGGCCGCAGCCTCGACCGCATTGGGGTCCGCGCGTCGCGGGAAGTCGCGGCTGTTGGCAACCAGGAGGAGCAGCATCAGCAAGGACCCCGCCACCTGTCAAGTCATGGGATTCGGTTGTTCCCCTCGTGAAGATGGGAGAGAAAGACAGCAAATCAGGAAAAGGGTCCACTGTCCTCATGGCTCCGCCATCCTCCACTTGGCCCTGTCTCCCCCGCCCCCCGCCTCATGCCAGCCCACGTCCCGCGCATCGCCCTCCCCAGCCTCGTTTTTTTGGGAGGCGGAGATTTGTCCATGCCCACCGCCTGGGAACCACGTGCTGGTGCCCCAGCGGGCGAACCGACGTCCCGGTGCCCCAGCGGGCGGTGGGTATGGCTACATGTTGGCGCCCAGGGGCCCGAACCTATCCATATCCACCGCCTGCCGAGGTCCCCGAAAATGGACCCTCCAGGCGGTGGTCATGCACAAATTCGCGCCTCGGATTTTTCCTTCTGAGCAGCGCAATCCAGTGCAAAGCACGCGTGCAGCTCGCGAACTTCGAGCAGACCCAGAGAGACGATGGGGCCCACCTGCGACGGGCCAACCCGCACAGAGGACCGCCAATAGAGCAGCGAAGGCCCGTCTCCTGGTATCGGGGCACGACTTCTGGCACCTGGCATCTGGCTAGGGAAATTCGGGAGCGGCCAAGAGGGGGGTGTCCAAGAGGGGGGGGGGGGGGCAAATCATGACCGGCGGCATGTGCGCGGCCCAGCGGGGGGGCCTGGGACGTAATGAAATAAGAAGAGGCGCCATGAAATCTGAGGAAAAATCATGGCCCGCGCCATGAAATTCACCCCCCCCTAGTCATCACTCCCCTCTTTTCCGCTCCCGAAATGTGGGTCACCACCGTTCCAGAAGCCCCGGGATCGGAAGAGCACCTTGATAACATACCTTCGAGACCATGATTTGCTTCCGCCAGGCGGGCTTCCACAACCACTCTTCGACGGCCCCTGGGCCAGGACATCGAGGGAGAACGACAGGAGGGGGCTGGCTCAGGGGGGGAACCCATAGACTTGGACTCGGCGACGCATCGCCGCTAGATTGGCCATGGGCCCCCGACGGCGAAACCTCAAGCTCCTGGGCGGGGTGGGCTATCCAACCCATGTTGCGGCGACGAGTGGGCGACTTGGGGTCGAGGCGTCGCTCCCTGAGCCTATCATTATGTCGGGCATGTCCCCCTATAGGCGGACTTTGGACGAAAAATAAGAAATACCACAAAAATATTCAAAAGTAGCCAAGCGTAGTCGAAACATGTGTCCCCAGAGTATTTGAATGACTGTTTCTGAAGATTCCTCCAGTACATGCCCGATTGGAACCTATCTCCCACCCGAACGGTGCTCGGGGATCTTCTGACCAGGCGCAATCCAGACCCGGGTCAGTCAGGCCTCGTAGAATCCTGCAAAATCATGCAAAATCATGAACCCGAACCCGGGTCAATGCGAATGATCCTGCAAAGTCCTGCAAGATCCTGCACGCAAGCCCGGGTCAATGCGCCCCTGGCCCTGCAGGATCCTGCAAGATCTGGCGCTCTGGCTGGCCCCCGTCTGCATTGACCCCCGTCTCAAGTGCGAGGCGGGGGTTTATCCATATCCGCCGCCTGGGAACCGACGTCCTGGTGCCCCAGCGGGCGGTGGATATGGATATCTTTCGGCCCCCGGGGGTCCGAATCTGTCCCTAGCCACCGCCTGCCGGGTCTCCGAAGAATGGCCCTCCAGGCGGTGGATATATGGATCCATTCCCGCCCTGGATCCGGGCTCCCGAGGTGCCCCGGACGAACGGCCTCCGGAGGCCGAGCGCGCGCAGCAACCCGGAGAGGGGGGCGCCTCCTGGCCGCAACGGCGTGCGCGCGGGCGAGGGGCCAAGGCCGCGCCACCGGCGTGCTCGGGTCCACGGCGTGCGGTTGGGGATCTCTCCTTGTGGTGACACCGAGCGCTCGCAAAAGAGCGTGTAGAGCATCGCGAAGCGCACCGATTCCTACATTTCAGGTATGCGAGTGTATCGGACGAACACGACACCGCGAGCTGCAGGAGAGCACGAACCCCGCGTTCCTACAATTGGCTTAGCCGCTTAGCCACGCCTTCCTGCATTTGGATGTCCTACTTCGCCGCGAGCCAACACACCGTCAGCGCATCTACGGAGGGGGGGGGCAGGGAGTGCACCGAAACAAAAAGAAGGGGCAGTGAAATCTGGGAGACCTCTTGGCCCCAAATCCACAATATCCACGCAGCCCAGATCCTTCCTCCCTCGCTGGGCGCCTCGGTGTCTTTGGGGTCAGATGCAGCTCTGGTCGTCCGCTGGTGGCCGCTCTGGACGGCCCCGGGCGCCCGAGGAACGCTACCCGACGAGGCGCAGCTGCTTCGCAGCAGCCCGCAGCGAGGAAGCCGAGGGGAGCCCACCGAAACGCCCAGCAAAAACGTCGAACAACGAGGCCTGCCAGCATCACGGCGCCTTAAAATCGCAACAACGGCCGCCACGTGAGGAACGGCGCCTCTGGAGACAGCGAACACTGGGGGCTCGACAGGCAGCCCCATCGAAGAAGCGTCCTCGGTTGCCTCCCCGGTGAGGCATCGGCGCCTGCGTGGAAAGAGAAGGGTCGGAAGGAGGAGGGAGACAAGGAGAGACGCATGATAGGAGCAAGAAAAGCCCGAACACGTATCATGAGAGCGCTTTTCTTTTTTCGCGATAGCGGCCGTTAACGGCCCTGGCAGCCCCGCCCTCCCTGTCCCAGGTAACGTCACGATTCTTGCTGACCTTCGCTCTGGTTATCCCTATGCATTCCTTCTTGACGGCGCTGGCGCGAAACTTGACGCTACAAGCCGCTCGCCATCCTACCCCCCCCGGTGACGCCCGATGTCATCTCGGAGTGCGAAGCGCCCTCCTATCATGCGAAGAGCGCCCCCGAACCTGATGGGAGGACGCGCTTGCCCCCCTCTGCCCTGGTAGCTGCACCGACCTTGCAGACGTGCGGCAGTGGATTTTTGCGTGGATTTATGCCTTCGCAAATCCACGAACAGGCGGGTGAAAAACGGAGTGAAGTTCACGTGGGTTTTTGTTGTAGTCTTCGTTCCTGGCCAATAAAAGACCGCACGACAAATTCATGTCGAAATCCGGTACGAAATTCTCCAGGACAATCTGCGCCCATCCCGGTGTTTTTTGAGCGTGGACCGACCGTCACGGCATTCCTAAAAAGGCCTTCCACGAAGTGATCTTAGAACCCCAAAATGTTCGAATCACAAAGCAACGCTCTTAGATCATAAACCCGATATGTTAAAACAAGACAATATCGGCCAGAAATGTTCTACGAACATTTCGTGCAGACCACAAATCATTATTAGAGCATTGTCCGGTGGGCCTATAGGCACGCCACGAGTCTTTGCCACTGCCTGACATCCCTTTGTTTTCCGAACGAAATCCGCTCGATGCTGTCGCCATGGCCCGGGCGCGCGCCTCCACGCTCGGCAGGGGCACCACTCCGGGCAGCCACATGCCGCCAGTGATGCCGAGGCTGGCACAGGTCTGGTACCAGCCGAGGACCTGCGACGACGGACCGACGACCAAACGAAGAAAAAACCGGCAGAGACATAAACTTTCGGAGCTCCGCGCGAATTGCTTGGATCTTCCTCCTCCCCCTCCCCCTCCTCCTCCTCCTCCTCCTCCTCCTCCTCCTCCTCCTCCTCCTCCTCCTCCTCCCAACATAAGCTTTCGGAGCTCCGCGCGGATTTCTTGGATCTGCGCTGGAACCCTCCCCCCCGCCGGCGCGCGGAGCGCGCCGGGGGCGGCGCCAGAGGCGCCGCCAGGCAGTTTCGGCGCAGATCCAAGAAATCTGCCCGGAGCTCCGAACGTCTACAGTCGGCCTTGATTCGACAGGACACGCGGACACAAGACCCTTCCGAGGGCCACATCGCCACGGGAGTGCGAGAAGGCACGTGTCGCGAGGCACAGGACACAAGGGCACCCTTGAGCTGGCAGGGTCGACCTACGAATCGGGGCCGACTGTATGTCTGTGCCCTTTGTCTCTTTCGAGTGACAGCGTCGACGACGTCGGAAAGAGGCCGCGACGCCGAGGAGGCCTACCGGAGCCCTCGGCTTCCTCTGGGAGGGCACCTGCGATCTCGAGGCGCATCCGGCCGTGGCCGCGGGGGCCTCCGAAAAACAAGTCGGAGGAGGAAGGAGGAGGAAGGAGGAGGAAGGAGGAGGAGGAGGAGGAGGAGGAGGAGGAGGGGGAGGGGGAGGGGGAGGAGGGGAGGAGGAGGAGAGGAGGAGGAGGAGGAGGAGGAGGAGGAGGAGGAGGAGGAGGAGGAGGAGTAGGAGGAGGAGGAGGAGGAGGAGGAAAACGGGAGGACGAGGAGGAGGAGGAGGAGAAGGACCAGAAACCCTCGAACACCTCCGGGAAGGGGCGGGGGACGAAGGAGGTGCAAGCGACGGATTGATTTTTCAGTCGGCGGGCACACTGAAGTCTCGGGTCCTTCCCTGGTTTCGACCCGGATCCATGATTGACGCTCCCAGGGCCGAACGCAATGAAAGATATCAGGACTGAACAGATCAATCCGCACGATGTTTGGGAGCGGAGGAGGTCCTTGGAGCTGAGCTCCCCGTGCTTGTGCATCGCGACCATGGTGTGCGAGTAGCACGGACTAAATCCCGCACCGAGCAGCGCGAAGCATGCCAGGAGCAACAGTACCTCCCACCTTCTGCGGGGTCACTGGTGGGGTGGGATGGGGAGGAAGGGCATGTGGAGACGGATGAGAAGCAAGGGCAGGGGGAGGGAGAAGGGGTGGCTCAGCAAGCTTCTTGCAGTTTTGGGCCTACGGGTGAACTTCCCTGCCACGGCTGGGTCCGCCTCGAAACCGAAGTCGGAACGCGCTCGAGGACAGGTCCGAGGGTCGACTCTCGAGGGTGCAGGAGGAGAAAGCAGAGGGGCACCAAGGGAAGACACCTGCTATCCCAATCGCCCTCAACTTCAGGCGCTTATAGGTTGGGCTGCTCGTCTGCTGCTGCTAGGTCGCCCCTCCGCTGGCGCCACCGCCGCCTCCGCCGTCGTCGTCCTCCTCCTCCTCCTCCTCCTCCTCCTCCTCCTCCCTCCTCCTCCCTCCTCCCTCCTCCTCTCCTCCCCTCCTCCTCCTCCTCCTCCTCCTCCTCCTCCTCCTCCTCCTCCTCTCTCCTCCTCCTCCTCCTCCTCCTCCTCCTCCTCCTCCTCCTCCTCCTCCTCCTCCCCCCGCGGTTGTTGCCGTGGTCGTCGTTATCTTGGTCGTGGTCGTCGCCGCCGCCACCGCCCTCGTCGTCGTGGCCTTCGTCGTCGGCGGCCGTCCGTCGTGGCCATGGCGGTCTGCAGCCGTCGTCCTCGGTGTCCGGGGCCCTCCGGGTTTCTATGCCGACAGGTTTTCCGAGCCTCGTCGGGCCTCTGGCCGTTGCGACGAGAGCCTCCAAGGACGCCCGAACACATCTGAAACAGCGACGTAGACGACATCGTCGTCCTATATGTGTGTTTCACAACGCGGATCCCCTGATGTCACGAACCCCGATCCCAAGACCAATTCATCCCGAGCAATGTGTTGACAGACAGGGGTCCCAGTAAGTGCCCGCCAAAACCGAACATGTTCAAACGCTGTCCGTCATGATTGCGACTCGCGAGAGGGTCTGGGTCGTCGTCATCGTCGTCGTCCTTCCTTCATCGTTGTCTGGGTCGTCGCTCGCACGGGTACCAGACGAGGCGTTCGGGGCTCAAAAACCCGGACATGAAACTATTTAACTTTCGGGAGGGATCCAGCCGAGATGCTTAGAAGACCAAAACCACCAAAGCAGCTCTATCCTCGGCGTTCATCAGAAGCCTCCGACGTCCAGATCTATTTACCACGTGGACCCTCCGGCTTGGGCTTCTTCCCCTGGACTGTTTTTTTTGTTATTTTATTTTTTGGGTTAAAAAAATGAAAACGAAGTCCTGGGTCGTTTTTGCTGGCCACGGGGCCCAGAGAGGGCCCCCAGAGGCCAAAAACAGGTGAAAGCTTCCCGTAGCGTTTATTGTCACGACGCGAAGAGGTCTGGGTCGTCGTCGCCGTGGCACTCGTCCTCCCCCCTGCTGCTGGTCATGGGCGAGCTTGGCCGAAGTGAAGCCCAAAACGCCCAACGAAAGGGCTTCTAATAATGCGGGTGGCTCCGGGAAAAGGAAAACCTCAGGGAACCGACACAAACGTCGGAACGCCCGCCTGAGCCGATCCCCACGGACAAGTATGTTTGAGCTTCGCCCTTCGCGAAGCGCGAACCACTTCGCGCTCTCGCGTCGCCCTCCCCCCCGGGGGAGAAGAAGAGGACCAGGAGGATGAGGATGAGGAGTCACGAGTCGCGAACAACATAGCACCCTCCTGGCGGCCCTTGCTAGAGGCCTCCTATATGGCGTCGGAGTCGAGGCGGTCGGAGGATCGCACCGCATCGCCGGTGCATCCGCGACGTGAGCGGTGCTTCCGAGACACCAGCGCGGAGAACATCGGGCTCCGCATCGAGACGGACCGCCGATGCATCGGCGATGCGGTGCGATCCCCCGACCCCATCTACTCAGACCCCGTCTGGGAAACCTGGACTGTACGGTACAATCCAGGTTTCCCAGACGTACCGGCATCGGCACCGCTCCTGGGCCTCCTCCTCCTCCTCCTCCTCCTCCTCCTCCTCCTCCTCCTCCTCCTCCTCCTCCTCCCCCTCCTCCTCCTCCTCCTCCTCCTCCCCCTGCTCCTCCTCCTCCTCCTCCTCCTCCTCCTCCTCCTCCTCCTCCTCCTGCCGTCCACGCCCCGCCCCCCTTCCCTCTTGCCCGCCTGCCCTGCCGGCCCAGGCCTCCCGCCCTGCGCGCTCGTCCGCCTGCCTCTCCCCTCCTCGCCTCCCCCCCCCGCCGGGTAGCACGGCCAGGAGGAGGGGGAGGAGGAGGAGGAGGAGGAGGAGGAGGAGGAGGAGGAGGAGGAGGAGGAGGAGCAGCAGGAGGCGGAGGAGGAGGAGGAGGTTGACTTTGGAGGGGGGGAATCGGCGAGGGGGAAGGCGCGGCGGCGCGCAGGGCTCTGCATCGGCGTACCGCACAGGCGTGCAGAGTGTAGAGAGCCCTGGGCCGGCAAGATCGCAGAGGCCAGGGACGCTCTCGAGATTGCACACCCTCCTGACGCGCTGCCCCTCCCCGCGCCCCCACTGGCCATGGGCGAGCTCGACTCGGAATCCGCCGCCTCCCTGGGCGTGGCGGCGGTCCGCGCCGCGAGCGCGGAGAACAGCAGGGAAGCCAGGACCTCGCTCGGGAGCGGGGCCCGGCGACCGCGAGGCGACAGTGCGGGCAAGACTCGTATCCATGTTCATTCCGTCTTGGAACGTCGGGCTCCCTCCTCCGGAAACCAGAGGCGCAAAGGAGGTGGATAACAAACTAGAGGCTAGACTTTTATCCACAGCCACTGCCCCTTGGCCTTGCAGTGCCTCTTCACAGAAATTCCAAGACGCAGCGGGTATGGGTAGAAATCTTGCCCGGGGACTGGTCACGGCAGGGGGTGAGCCAACCTGGCGTGGAAGTGCCGAACTGGGCGACTGGATCCGCTCCCCACCCGTGCAGATCCTCTCCGTCGGCTATGTGGTGGGTCCCGGAAGCCCCAGACCCTAACAAATTGCCATCTTTTGGGGCGCACCCTTCACTCCCGCCAACTTCCGCAGGCCTTCCGCCAGCTTCCGCCAGAGAGACCGCCCCGGTCTAAATTCCGCCGGCCTCCGCCGTCCTTCCGCAGTGGAGGAGATGTCAACCTCGCGATACCTCGAAGGCGGCGGGGCGTCTCAGAAACCCTCGTGCCTTCTGACAAGTCCTCTTCGCCTCCTCCGAAACCTTGCCCGCACTTACGCAGAAGGAATAGAAAACCTCTTAGACAGTGCGAGAGCTTCTGAGGAGCCCGCCGCGGAGGCCTGACCCCTCTCACTGCCCCCCCCCGGGCTCGCCGCTGGGAGGCTTTGTTAGAGGGATGGTCGAAGGACCACGGGAGCCTCGTTCGTACGCGGCCCTCGTGCACTGTGCCCAGGCCGGTGCCCCAACGCAGCAGCATCTGTGCAAGACCGGAGACGCCAGGAAGCGAAAACAGGGTAAGCCAGATCGGGAAATCGGCTCGGTCCGAAATGTGTGTCGAATCGGGCCGCCTCGACACGGAGTCGGATCCGATTGGATCGGCCGCGCCAGGCTGCACAACGGCGCCCTGCAGGCACCAGGCCGCATCGGATCTTCGCGACGTGGAATATCGAGTCGGTTCGAGCCCGTCAGGGTCGATTTCCAACAGGATGGCTCGGATCGAAGCGGGCCCCCGAAAGGCAGGCAATGGTCGAGGATCCAGGCTCAAACAACAGCTTACCGTGTCTGGTAGTGTGCCCCCCCCGTTCTTGGGGTGTTGTTGGGCCCTAGTGGGCCTCTTTTGGAGAGGAGGGTACTGATGATACGGAGTGGGCGTTCGCCCCCTGGCCGAAAACTGGCAGACTGCTCTATCTCCTCGTCCCACTCGCCAGAAGCACTCTCCCAGCTACGCTGGCCACTCTCCCAAGCAACAAGCGCCTCAGTGGAGGGAGAGCAGGAGGAGGAGGAGGAGGAGGAGGAGGAGGAGGAGGGAGGAGGGAGGAGACGGATGAGGAGATGATGACATGATGATGATGATGATGATGATGATGATGATGATGATGGGAGGAGGAGGAGGAGGGAGGAGGAGGAGGAGGAGAGGGAGGGAGGAGGAGGAGGAGGAGGAGGGGGGGAGGGGAGGAGGAGATGAGGGCGGAGGAGGGCGGGGGTCTTGCGGGCCGACCGTCGCCATGGCCCCGTAGTGCAGCAGCCCGGACGAAGGGATGAAGGCCGACGCCTGCGGGGCAGCAGGGACGGCTCGCTTCGCGGAGCAGGACGACGACGAGGAGGAGGAGGAGGAGGAGGAGGAGCAGGACGGCGAGGAGGAGGAGGAGGAGGAGGAGGAGGAGGAGGAGGACAGACGATGGATGTTTCATTCCCCCAGCGCACCGATGCCGATGAACGAGGTAACAGTCGATGAAGTCATACAAAGTGCGGCAAGAGTATGCATTGGCTGGGACGAACAGTCCAGGCAGGATCTACAGCAAAAATGATGATGCTGATGATGGTGTGGTGATGTAGCTCATCACACGCCTGTATGTCGCCGCGCCGTTTGTCTTCGACGCGCCCAGATGGACGACGCCGGCACCACGGCAAACGCAAGGCAAGCCCTGCGCCCCGCGCCTCTGCAGACGCAGCCGGCATCGCGGCAAATCCACAGCGAACCCACCGCGTTCGGGCGCTTGACCTAGTGGCCGTGGCGCCCTCCCCAAAACGTAAGGCCGCGAGTTGGAACAAACGGCGCGGCGATATACGCTGTTCCACACGTGCGTGCCAGCCTTCACCAGGGGCCATGCTGACCTCCTCTGAAGCAGCCGTTCCAGTGTTAACGAGAGACCCCGACCACTACGACGATGGTGGTTGTAATCATGATGATCGCATTTTCCCGCTCGTCCAGCTCATCCCCTGGTGCGAGCAGCTCGTACTGTTCGCCCCATCTTGCCGCTTCCTCGGGCAAGGTCAAAGAGCAGCGGACGGATAAGCTCTGACACACATGCTACGCGTATCACGGCGGCCGAGACAGTCAGGCGACACACGCAACACAGCGCACGATCGGGGATGTACTCTGGGCTGTACATGCTTGGGAGGTGGGGGCGGACAGAGGACAGAGAAGAAATCACGGCAGGAGAGCCCCCCATGCGGCGCAGCATCCGAACGTCTTCCGGGCATGGCACAAGCCGGTGAGCCCGGCAGGGCAGACCAGCCGCGTGCCGGCCAAGGGCGAGCACGGGACCACAGGGCCCACAGTTGCTGGCGCTGACTCGAGGAGCAGCGTGGTGTACCCGAGGGAACGGCAACAGAGCAGGCGGCATGAAAGGGAAACTCAGAGCAAAGTTCCCTGAAGCTTGCAATCTCCTTCGGCAGTTCGTGGGCTCGTGCTGGCGATGGTGATGGTGACTGCGATGGTGATGCTGCGCGACGAAGATAAGGAGGATGGGGAGGATGGGGAGGAGGAGGAGGAGGAGGAGGAGGAGGAGGAGGAGGAGGGTCGAGGATCTAGGATACTCAGAGGTGCGAAGTCGGAAGCCCTCCTCTCATCATCTCAAATTCCGATCATCTCCTGGTGCTCCGCCTCATCATCCTCCCGCTCGTCCTCGTCCTCTGCCTCCTCCGCCCCCCCCCCTTGAAAATCGGCCCTCGTTCTCAAGGTGACCGCTGCTGCTGCCCAGAACCTTGAAGGGAATCCAGCCGTGGCGACGAGAAGCCTCCCGGTGGCCCAGAGAGGACAGACGACGAAAGAGATGCAGAAGCCTGGCCCTCGATCCTCGATCACCCTCTCCCTCCTCTCTCCCCCCCCCCGGCGCCGCCCTTCTCTCGCGAGGGGCCTCCGCCGCTGCCCCCGCGTCGGCGCTCCTCGATCGAGCTCTTTCCCCCACGGCCCCCGGGGCTCGGCGAGGGCCCCCTGGGGGCGCCGAGAACGGCCCCCCGGACCCTGTCGCCGCGACTCGCATGCACGGCGCGAGGGGGGGGTCCGGGCCCCCCCCCCCCCCCCTCCCGGGAAGTCCGCCCCCTGTCCTCCCCCCGCCGCGCCTCGTGGCCTCGCCGGCACCTGGCGACGTTACGTTCGACTGGTCTCGGCTCTGGGTCGGTCGGCTCGGGCTGGCTTGGCACGGCTCGAGCTCAGCCTCCTCACGGACTGCCCTCCGGTCGTTTGCCTCTGGCCTTGGTAGTGAAGTGAAGTGAAGTGAGGTGAAGAGTCCTCGGCTCTTGGTCGGTCGGCTCGGGCTGGCTTGGCACGGCTCGAGCTCCGTCCGCCTCCTCACGGACTGCCCTCCAGTCGTCCCCTCTAGCCTTGGTAGTGAAGCGAAGTGAAGTGCAGAGTCCTGGCTCCGAAGAGGCCCCGCGGGGGGGGCAGGGCGCCGGAAAAAAACATCTCTAGCGTCATCCTTCGACGAATGGCTGAAGAAATTCTGCGTGTGACGCCCACTCAGTGCGGTTCTCCGCTGCGCGGGCCCACTGCCGCAACCCCGCCTGCGTGGTATAATGTCGCAACGTGTCCTCCCATTTCATCCAGCGACGTCTGGACGGCCGCTTTTCCCTGGTGCTCTCGTCCCGCATGGCCGTCCGTCCAGCCTTGGTAGGTCTTAATTGAACATGCCTTTCCAATCCTCGGAGCGTTCACGGCGGTCCAGGACGCCCCCCCCCCGGACTCGCGCCCGAGACAGCAAGGCCCAAACAGGCCTCCAGGACGGCCCGCCGTCCTCCTCCTCGTCGCCGTCACCGCCAGAGGAAAGGACGGCGGGCACAGCAGCGGCAGGGAAGGAGGCTGGCAAGCCTTGCCACCCCCCCTTGGGGAGGGGCGAGAATCGAGGTTCTCCTCCCTTCCCCTCCTCCCCTCCTCCCCAGACCACGATGCCATGATCTTGTCCACAACGTGACCCCAGGAGGTCTGAACCCCATACGCGAGACAAGATTCTCGTTGTGAGTCGCTTCTGGCTCTCTAAGGGCTCCTGGAGGCCGAACGATACAAAGCATCATCCGCGGTGACTTGTTCACGGCGTGAGGGGATCTGGCCCCCCCCTCCTCAAAACCAGCACACGCACCGAGGACCTCTCTCGGAGTGCGCTCTGGCCAGAGTCTTCGGGGGGATCCAACCCTGGTGACGGGGGCGCTCAAAAGCCCGAGCACAGTCCAATCTTTACCACAAGAGCGCAGGCCGAGAAGACGAGCCCCTTCGCCGGAGGCCCAAGGCCCGGTGGAGATACCCCCCACGCGGAGGGCACTCCAAGGCGGAGGGCCCAACCCCGAAAGACGCAAGAGCACCCTCCAAGGCCGACTATAGGGTCGCTCTTGCTCCTAGTGCCGGCTGCCGTGCCCTCTTCTCCACCCGCCCGAATTATTCTGGACCCCGTCATACTCGACTCCCCCCTCCTGGCCAACCAGACCCCCCCCCCTTTCGCGACATCATCTTCCGGACCCCCCCCTCTAAGGGTGGAGCGCCCCGTGCCTGGCGCGGCCGACCGGCCTGCCCCGCCGCGCCCGCGACCGCAGGCGCTGCCGGTCGAGCACTGTGCAGGCTGCGGCTCCGAAAGCTCGGGCCTTCGAACCTCCTCCCCTCCAGGAGGAGGCCGCCTGCAGCGAGAGAGTCTGGACCCGGTGGTCGAGAATTCCGACCGGGTCCAGCCAGGGCGACGGGCGGCCTCCCGGAGGCCCCCCCGCCACAGAAAAGCGTTTCAAGGAACATCTGCAGATACATTCGATCGCCGCATCCCCCCCTCACGAGCGGGAACGAGGAGAAGGGCACCCGGAGGATGTCGCCACCCATGACACCGTTTGACGTGCACCCCTGCTTAGAGATAAGAGCAACTCAAACCAAAAACGTGGACTTCACGACAGGCGTTTTCTCAGACAGTAGCCCGGGTCCACATAAAACAAAGGTTCGACGAAGAAAAGAAGCTCCAAGAAACCGCCCAGGGTCCATTCGAGATTCTCGATTTTTGTTGAACGAAATCTGTACTCACCGAAAGTTGGCGCTTTTTTGTTCTCCAGATTTCTGATGGGTGTGCTGTCATACAGCTGCCCCCACCTCCCGACCCCAATGTGCGACCCATTGAACCAATGCCCACTCCGACCTGGTCATCTAGCCGCCCCCCCCTCCGGCCTCCTGGAACCCGTCCACTAGAACGGGAGCGAGCGGGGCCGGATCCAGGAGTCGAACCATCGGCCCCAAGTCTTGACCTGTCCAGGGGCGCATTCCGACCATGGGGCGTGAAATTCACTGGGGGGATACCAAAGGGAGGGGGGGGGGAGAAAGGTGCACTCCTCGGGCCCTGAAAGGCACCGCCCTGGGCCCTAAAGAAGAACCCTTTTGGGGGCCCTGCAAGGCCCCTTTCTGCAGCCCTCGCTCCCCCCTCTTCTACCGCCTCCCATGAATTTTCGCGCCCAAGACCAGACACTCGGAGCGGATCCGGCCGTGGCGACGAGGAGGCCTCCCAGAGGCCCCCTGACGCGCGCAAGGCGCTGGAGCACGCACCTCGAGATAGACACTCGACCGCCCCATTCCCCGCTCGCCTCCCTCGAGGCGGGAGCGAGGAGGAGGGCACCCGGAGGATGACGCCCCGCGACAGCAGGTTCGCCGAGTAGAAGGCGCCCGGGATGCAGGCAGCCACCTCGCAGCGGGGAGTTGAAGGGGCCAAGAGACACACAAATAGATACACACAAATCCCAGGATTCCCCATCTGTTTCTAGATGTTTGGGGGTTTCGTCTTCCCCCCAATTCCAACATTTTTGTACATCTTCATAGGAATCGACGATTAATTGTGTCTGCGTGTTTTTCCCCTCCTGAGGAATGGGAGGGGTAGGGGGCGGCCTCGGCCCTGCTCGCCACTGCTCCATCCTCGCCCTTGCCCCTCCATCTTCTCTTCCATTCTCTAATCCGCCCTCCTCCTTCGGCCTCCTCCATCCTCATCAATCTTCCTCCTCCTCCTCCTCCTCCTCCTCCTTCCCCTCTTCCTCTGTCTTCCTCGCTGCAACCATGATGAGGGAAGCTCAGCAGCAAAGAGGGGAACCAGATCAAGCGATACAGAACTGTGCATCTGCTTATTGTCCTTCTTCTCCTCCTGCTTGTTTTCCTCCTCCCCCCCTCCTCCTCCTCCCCCATTCCTCCTCCGTCCTCCTCCGTCCTCATCCTCCTCAGTCCTCTCGGCGACTCCGAAGGGTGTGGCTTGCAAAGGGTGTGGCTTGCAGCTGGCACCCTGGGGGGCACCCTGCGGGGCGAGCGAGGCGCTCGACAGAGCTCTCCGCCGCGCCCCGAGGAGGCCCGACGAGGACAGCGTCGTGCCCCACAGGCCCCAAGGGTGCCGACTGCAAACCTCACCCCGGCGCAACCGTACCCGGTCCTCCTCCTCCGCCCGAATGAGGATGCAGCGGGAGTCTCCGAAGCCGGGCGGGCCTGGACGACGCGCGCCGCGGCCGGTCTCGGAGCGCGCCGAAAAACTGCTTGAAAGTGCTCCGGAAGGTCATGGGCGGAAGAATGAGCGCGGCGGCGCCGCGGAAACCGGCTGCATGCAGCAGATTTCGCACCCCCCCTTTGCTTATCCTACCCTTTCGTCCGGCCCCGATCATCGTGAGCCTGCCTCAAGTGCCGGCTGGTCTCGTCCGGAGTTGTTTTTCGGCTGCCCTCGGGGCTCGAAGCTGGCCTCCATCTCCTCGAGGCGCCAGACAGACGCCGTTTTCTGCTTCTGCACACCGAGCTCCTCCGCTCCACTCCCTTTTTGGCTCCCGGGCCGACAGGACGACGTGGTCGGCTATACGCAAGAGTGACCCTGGGTAAGAGTGACCTTTGGTGCGCGGCATTCGGGGGGCGCGGGGGAGCCAAACCCAAGCGCGCAAGCCGCTGATATCGCAGCGCGTTCGGCGATTGGGGGACCCATCTGGGCCCGCACCGAAGGTCACTCCTGCGAAAGGTCACCCTTACGTCTGGACGACGTGGCGCACACGCAGACACGGACCGCTGCACAAACCTACGCCGGCGGAGGTCCGAGCGGATCCCTCGGCTCGGCGCTGGACCCCACGTCCCCGGCGCGCCGCGGGCGCCACGGGCGGCGCCGGAGGCGCCGCCAGGGGGGCCCAACGCTGGCCTGGGTTTACTCCATTGTTCCTTCCTGGGACATGGGGCCCCCGGAACCCAGACCCCCCCGAGTTATGGAAAAATCGCGACGGGAGGTGTTTCATTATTTTTTGACTGGGGGCCCTGGAGGCCCTCGAGACCGTCAAAAAACGGCTTAGGACGAAACACCGGTCCCGGGGAATGGGTCCAGTCCGCTGGGGGTCGGCATCACCCCCCTGCTGCCGCCGCCCGTTGCCGATCCGCCGAGGCCATAGGAGACCCCAACTCCTCCGACCCTCGGAGGCGATGCCCTGTCTGGAACGTTTCAGATTGTTGGGAACTTGGGCACCAACACAAACAAAGGGGGCTGCCTCCGCCAAGGCAAGACGACCCTAGATTCCTTCGGTCTTAGTGGTAATCTCCCGGCCACCTGGAAATCCTGGACATCACCGCCATCACCGAGGTCGGGATCACCTTCCCCCGGTGAGGCTCACCGCCGATATTGGTGGTGGTGCCAGCCTCCAGGCCTCTGTCATCCGGCCCCGACCGAGGGGCTGGAGCAGGGCGACGAAATCTATACACGGCCACTGCTCCCTGGCCAGGCCCATCCAGAACCCAGCAACTACGCCACCTCCACCTGGCTCGGCCAGGAGTAGAGGAAGAAACAACGGCATATACACACAAACGTCCGACGGTCCGCGCGGAGCGCCAAGAGCTTATGTTTACAGCGCTCCTTCTTCTCCTTCTCCTCCTCCTCCTCCTCCTCCTCCGATGCACAGCTCCTGGGCCCAGGCTGGGAGCAGCGGCTGCGCGCAGACGTCCTCGCCCGAGGGAGAGCGGGCGTGCCGCGGGCGGGGGCCGCCTCCTCGGGCAGGCCCATGGACTCCACCCCGTACCTGGGGCGCCAGCGGGCGCGGGGAGGCTCGGCGTCGTCGTCGTCGGCGTCGTCGTCGTCGTCGTCGTCGTCGTCGTCGTCGTCGTCCACGTCCTCGTCCTCGTCATCGTCGCCCTCCTCGGGCTCGGCCGGATCGGGGCGTCGGCGGCTCTCGCGGTCGCCGCCCGTCCTGGGCAGACAGGGACAACTGTCCAGAGATCCGGAGGAGGATCTTTTCCATCCGGCGGTTGTTCCATGACTTCGGGCTCCAAGGCCCGCTAGTGGGCCTGGGGACGATCAAAACTGGATCCGGGACGAAAAAACAACTCCAGTGAAGAGGTCGGGACCTCTGGGGCCGCGGATTGAAAAAATCAGATCGTCGGATGTCTGGGTAAGCAGGTCACCCACGGGGACCCCCAAGAGGCTCCCAAGAGGCCCCCAAGACGCCTCTTGGAGGCCCCAAAACTGCCCCCAAAGGCCTACGAGCGCGCTCCGAAGATGCCCCACGAAGAATCACTGAGGACGCCCCACGGCAGCGTCGTCGTCGTCGCCGACTCCGCCGTTGTGGTCGTCGTCCCCCTTCAGGGTCGGCGGCACCGGCCGTAAGGCCTTCCCAAGACTTCACCTACAAGCTCGTGTCGTGGCGACCCCGGCGCTGGACTCTGCCGCCGCGTGGATCGGCGGCCTTTCGATCGGCAGATCGTCTCATCATGGCCTCTTCTGGGCCACGGGAGGCGTTCCACCTCGAGCGCCCGCGCGGGGGGGCGCAGCGGCGTCGACACACAGCACGAGCCTGCCGACCGTGGGTCAACAAGGGAGGGCGGCAGCACCACCACGAGCGCGGGAAGTCGGGGGTGGTCCTCCGGGTGGTCTGGTCCCTCTCTCGCACAAGACATCTCCGATCGCCAGCTCCAGGAGGCATCGTGGACCTCCTCGCTGGAGATGGCCCCCCTGTTGGTGATGTCGCTTCTCTGTTCTCCGACAGGCAGGACGGGGGGAGGATGAGGAGAAGGAGGAGGAAGAGAAGGGGAAAGAAAACAGCGCGGAAGCAGCCGTGGCAACACCTCTCCCTCACACCGTGGAAACACTCGCCATCCCTCGGACGTACATTCCCGTGCATGTTTCGGTTCCGTGTGCATTTCTTTTTTACAAGAATGGCCCAAAAGGCTCCTCGATGGTCCTCCCCAAGAAACATTCACACGTCCAGGCGATGCCAAGAGCAAGGATAAGGAGGTGTGTGTGGCAAAGGGAGCAGCAGAGCGGCTCCTCCTTGTCATCCCCCTCCAAGATGGCACTCGAAACGCTACCAGAAGGAACCCCAAACAAGCAACGAGGCAAATTTTTCATAGAAAGGGCGCTTTGGTAACCGAAGATCGACACTTCCTGGATCGACTGGCGACCGGGGACGCAGAATCTACAAACACGTGCACGTGACCCGACTTTCGCAGTAAAGGACGCGCGGCTGCGACGCCGAACGGAAGCAGGATACACGGACTATAAGGACGACGACCAGGGCGTCCGGACAGAGGCGAAGAGAAGGGCGACAGCGGCGACGAGAAGGACGACGAAGCCGTGCTGGGGCTCAGGACGCAGATCAGCCAACGCATCCTCGCGTGCTCTTGGGCTAACTGTGAATTCACCCGCCAATTGGCGACCGCACAAATCACCCCGTAGCGAGGACTCGGCGCGGGCGAAGGCGGCGACGAGGAGGACGACGACGAGGGCAAGAGGAAGGGGAAGATGGAGGGGGGGGAGAAAGAGGGGGAGGAGCGGAAGGAGGAAGTAGAGGAGACGGGGATGATAAGGAAGGCTAGGAGCAGCAGGAGGATGAAGAGGAGGTAACGAATACGATAAGGCACGATTTTTTGTCTGGATGAAATATTGTGTGCAAACATACTCCCTGAAAACAAAACATTGCTTGTTTACTCCCTCCCTGGTAATGTCTACTACGAGGGGAGTTGGTCGGGCCCCCATGGGGGGGGGTACGGTAATGTGGTCGGGCCCCACGGGGGGGTACCCAGCCCTGGGCGCCGGACGACGACGACGACGACAACGACGACGACAACGACGACGAAGACGAGGACCAAGACAAGGAACATGACGACGACGAGGACGACGACGGCCGCCTGGGAGGGTTTCCAGGTGTCTCCGGAGGTCTCTGGAGGCGTCTGAAGTCTCCGGAAGCTTTTGGAGGTGTCTGGAGACCCTCCGAGGCCTTCGGAGACGACGACGCCGACGAGGACGACGACGAGCATAACGACGACGACGACGAAGACGGCGACGACGACGCCGACGACGACGTCGACGATCACGACGACGACGACGACGATGACGACTCGAGACGACGAGCACGAGTGCGACGACGACGACGACGACGAGGACGAACACGACGAGGAGGACAACGACGACAACAACGACCACGACCACGACCACGACCACGACCACGACCACGACCACGACCACGGCCACGACCACGACGACAGCGACGATGACGACGGCCGCCTCTGAAGGTCTCCAGCGGTCTCCAAAGGTCTCTGGAGGGCTCTGGAGGTCTCTGGAGGCCCTCTGATGCCTGTCAGCACCACGCCCTGAAAGTGAGCACGGCATCATACTTGTAGGGGGGGCGCCCCCTCCCCTGCCCCGCATGCTCGCTACCGTCATAAAGGGGGGCGGGACGGCGACCTCCCCATAACGGACGTTACGGGTTGGGTTCAACTAGTGAAAACAAACTCTAGCCTGGATGTTTGACTGCAGAGTCAGAGAAGAAAAAGCACAGGCGTAGTAAATGCAACAGCAAGCGGCCGCTTGGCAAAGTGCACGGCGCAGCGGGGGGGGCCCATGCTGGCATCCTGTGTCGGTGTGGACTGTGCGCGGAAGCCGGGAGAGAGATGGACAAAACGTAAATGATAGCCAGAGGTCTGACCGTGCGAGAAGTGAGCAACACCCACACGTTGCCACGAAGACAAGTCTGAATTCCCAGGACTTGCCAGACTCGCCCAACTACCTCGATCCTCGATCCCTCGTGCCCAAGCAGATCCGTGGCCCAAACGCTCCCAACCACTTCCCGGGGGTAACGGTTCGCCCAGAAGCCCGGTGACCCGGGATTTCGAAATCAAGACAACCCGTCGGGATTGCAGAAAAACAGCCGTCGGAGGACTGTGGCCCGTCGTAAGCATAACAAAGCGACCCCCCCCCCCCACACACACACACACACACACACACACACACACACACACACACACACACACACACACACACACACACACACACACACACACCTACACACACACACCTACACACACACCTACACACACACCTACACACCTACACACCTACACACCTACACACCTACACACACAAAACGTGCCAAAGGGCCGCGCGGATGTCTCGGGTCGGCTCTGACCCTCCCCACCCCCACCGCTGGCGAGCGAAGCCCCTCAGGGGCGCAGCGCAAGGAGGCGCCACCAGGAAGGGGGATGGGTCCAGCCACCCTCCGAGAAATCCGCGCGGACCTCCGAACACATGCGCTTACGGCAAGCTCGTGTCGTGTCGACCCTGACCTTGGTTTCTGACACCGCGGGGATCGTTCAACCTTGAACGACCGGCGCCTCTTCGAGCGAGCCTACAGTATGTAGATTATGGTTCGGGTCGAGACCTGCTCCCGTGGCCCGTCGCAGGGGCGGGCGGGGCGCGTGAATGCCCACGCGGACACGGACGTCATCGCCAGCTGCGACAGCAGCACGTAGGCGAGGCCCACGAGTACGACCGAGGGGTGCGCAGCAGGTGACAAGGGAGGGTGGAACAGCGCAGCGGATGCTGCGGACAAACAGACAGACAGGCAAGAGGACGGGAGGAGGAGGAGGAGGGGAGGAGGAGGGGAGGAGGAGGAGGAGGAGGAAGAGGAGGAGGAGGAGGGAAAGGAGGAGGAGGAGGAGGGGGAAGTCGATTTATTTTGCATGGGACCATGCTGCAGCCCACATGCACCACTCAGGGTGGGCGAGGCCCTGAGGGAAATCAGCCACAGCCGTACCCGACCGCACTGAGCAGTCGGTACGGAATCGTCTGCGACAGAGAGGTGGGTGTGCCTGGGCGCTAACCGAGACCAGACAACAGAGACCCACCTCTGTGTGGCCCCTCACAGGCACACAGGGACCAAGGGGACCCTGCTACACCTGGACGAGGGCCAAGCAGAGGCACGCCAGGGCACAGTGCCACAGTCCTCCACACGAGGAACAAGAAAAAGAGGCCCTCGACACAGGAGGACGCGCGACAAAGAACCCACCAGAGTAAGGCGGGCAGCAATGCCACTAGCAGGATCCTGCCCGTGGAATGTGCCTCGGAGCCCGCAGGCCCTCGACTGTACCAGAGGACATGCGGAAAACACACAGGCCAAGGCTGCGAGCGTGTCGGGGCTGGGAGCCAAGCTCCTGTCCGCAGCAACACCTCCAACCATGACCACGGGGCGATAGCCCCCGAAACAAAAGAGTGGGCCCCACTGCACGAAACGCACGCGTGCACGCACACGAACCGAGTGTAGGGCCAGGCGATGGGGCCAGGGACAACTCACCAGGCCTCAGCAATCGCCGTGGGAGCGACAGTCGGGATAGATGTACCCCCGTGCTCCCCTCAAGAAAACCATCACCACAGCGCACACTTCCCCCAAAGGTGGGGTGCCTGACACACGTGCGATACGTACGAACCTATCGAAGAAGGGCTAACACAAGGACGACGAGGCTGCCCCAGGTGCTGATGCGCCTGGACGACAAATCCTCGCCCCAGATGTACAGCCGAGCAATGCAAAATAAAATGACAGAGAGACAACAAACATATCGACCACCCACACAAGGACGACGAGGCCTCCAGCCCCTGGTGCAGCAAGCGCCAGGACGGCTGGTGATCTCGCCCCAGATGTGGGGTATAGCACGGATGCCTGCCAAAAGGGCCAGACGCATCGGGCCGTGCAAGAAGAAAGGTACGAACACAATATTAAAGATGGCAAACCGTGCTTAAATCGACAGAGACCCCACACTTTTTTGGATGGAGCCCCTTCATCAACTTATTCCACGGGTTGCTGTGTGAGGCCACTTTGTCTGGCTCACACTTTTTGTCAAGGTTCCTCAATTGGCCCCCCGACGTCATGTGCCCACACTTGTGACAAATACAAATGAAAGACCCGTCCGAGCAATCGAGCAGCACACACACGTGTCCGAGCGCACGGAGCCTGGCGGGTGAAATTGTGAGTACCGCGTCGCACTTTTCTGCAGGAGGCTGGGCCGAGGGCGTGCCACGCTTGCCTCGCAGACACTCAGCACACTGCCAATAGGTACCCACCCAGCTCCACTGGTGGGCACTCTTTTTCTCACCCTGCTGACGCTCCACAGGGGGGGGAGGAACGCGCTGGACATTGGGGCCCAACTCCAGACGGGGCCAGAGAGACAGCAACTTGGCCCCTAGTCGTCCGGCGGCCCTGGCAATGGCAACCTCACGATCAAGGCCCCCGAGCTCGGCAGCCGACGGCATAGGATGCAAGAGCACCGCCTCCTTGGCCGTCTTGTCAGCCCAATCGTTGCCTTGCCGCAAATACCGATCCCGATCATCGGTGGCATCACTGACGTCTAAATGGGCCTTGACCTTTTCCAGCTGCACATTGGACCAGTGGTCCTTCAAATGCTGGGCCATGCCACTATACATGCGCTTGCCCGAGCACATCTCGTGCCACGACAGCTGTGCAAAACCCACGCAGCCCTGGCAATCACAAAGAATCGTGGATGGGCCCGTCGCCCACTGCACAGCAACTGACATGGCGTGATACTCTGCAGCCTGCGGCGTCTGTGGGCACGGCGCCCACACTGGACCTTTCACTCGCACAATCGCATTCCCCGTATCTTTGGACACAACAACAATCGACCAACCAGCGCGGTTCAGATCACCAACTTTGTAACGGGTACAGGAGCCGTCCACAAGCATGTCCCCCTCGAAACTCCTGGCAATGTCGCCCCCCTCCTCCACCCAGTCCACCTTGATGCCCCCTTCCACGAGGGGCTGCGGGAAGTTGGAGGGGTGGGGGAAGACGCCATAGCAGGCCAAGTTGTCATCCGCCTTAGTAGCCCATTCCTGAATGTCCGGACGAACTAAATGATCACGCAAAGCGACAGCCTCGGGGAACATGCATTCCCAGAGGCGGTGTCTAAGCGTGTCAAGGCCATCACCGCAGAGAGGGCACTCGGTGGAGGACAGCACGTAACCCAGGCTGGCCGCCCGTTGGCGGGTGTAAATAGCCTGGCAAAAAAAGAGCCCTCAAACAGCCTTTCTGAAAGGGGGTATATTTGGAGCTGTGGAGGTAGCTGAGGACGGGATCAACACACGCTCTACCCTTCATATTGAGCCTGGCCCCCAGGTCCCACTCGAGGCCCCTCAAGACAGCTTTACGCAAAAGCGTGCGAATCATTTGGGGGGAAAACTCGGTAATCTTGAGCTCCTCCCACAAATCAGTGACCAGGATCCCGAAGGCAGGCATCGTCCAGGAAATGCGCTCCAGAGACTTCCGAAGAGCCGTGGCAGGCCCCGAGACACTTCGCCACAGCGGGGATTCTCCCTCGAACCCAGCCTGCCAAGCAGCGCGAAGCTCAGGCAGAGACAAGGTGTGCCGATACAACCGATGGTCGGCCCACCAGACCTCCTTAGACCAGCGGATAATGGGAGCAACACTCGCATACCAACACGGCTCACCGCGCGCAAGCAACAAAGCGGTCAACGATCGGCCCTTGGCCGACGGCTGCAGAACAGATCCCGCCTGCCGCCGATAAGTCAAGAGCTCGAAGTCGGACGCCCCATGGACCTCGGACCCGAACAACTCAGACGCCAAGGCCCCAGAAGCAAAAACGTCACGGGCAACGCGGCCCCAAATCGTGGGCCGCAAACGGGCCAGCCGAGCAACGAACCCCAACGTTTTTCTTTCTCGTTGTTTTTATGCTTGGCGCTCCGTCTCTGGACTCGACGGGGCCGACCAGCACAATCATCAACTCCGAGGTTCGGCGCGGACGAGGCAAGCGGTCCAGCCAGCCCTCCAAGCACGGCGGCCAGCTCTCGCCCCAGCGCCTTAGACGAACAAATGAGCGACCGCTTCCCTTCATCTTGGCTGACCTTAGCCCCCACCCCGTCCTCTAAGACCGAATGCAACTGACGAGCAACAGGCGGCAAGCTGGCCACGATGTATCCCTTAGTACCCGTGGCGCTCACCCCCGAATCGTCAATGCACAACTTAAAGTGCACTTGGGGGGGATCTCAAGCTTGTCCAGGTCCTGAATGGCATAAACCCGAATAAAGGCAGTGGCAAACGTGCATCCCACAATAATGCCCCCCTGCGCCCAATAGGGCCCATCCACGAACCCGTTAAGGACGAAAAACCGAGCCTGGAGGTACATGGCAATCGCCAACCGAGCGATGGCCATCGGGAAATGCATCTGCCTGACACGCCACAGCAACATTTTCAGGTTACTGGTTTCATAGTACTTGTAAAGGTCGAGCAGCACCGTAGCCGCTTCGTCTTTAGACAAGGTAGACGTCTCCGCACGGACCGCCTGCCTCCAGACAACGTCCAGAGCCCCCTCAAAGGGGCCCGCCGCAAAATAATCACGAGCGTGGGTGAATTCCCACTGCTGGGCCAGCGGCCGCCTAACCTTCCCATACGCACGGTGAAGGGCATGGAAAAACCCGATGGGACAGAACCCCCCACTCGCTTTAGGGATAAGGGAAAGAAGGGCGACGGAAATCTGGACAGGGATCAGGGCCGCGTGCTCCATAACAGCAAGCAGGTCCACGACCGCAAGCAGCGTCGCGTCACTCATCAAAGAGAGGTGCTTCATGTGGAAGCCATCCACACTGACAGAGGCATTGTCGTTGCACCTCCTAGAAAAAATCCGTATGGCTTCCACAGGCACTGGCGGCAGAGGCGGGGCCACCCCTCCGATCTCGAACCAACTCCCCGTCCCCCCGTCTCCCCAAAGCTGAGACAACTTGGAAGCTTCAGCTTTGAATAAAGACAAAGGGTCCGCAACCACCACCCCGTCCAGGGACAAGGTGGCGGTGGGGGTCCAAGGAGTGGCCCCCTTGGAGACCAGGTGAACACGTCGGGCCCCGCGATGCGCTTTGAAAAGGAGCCACTCCCTCCACTCCTGATTAGCTTTCTTCCTGGATCCCGCCTCCACCTCCGACAGAACCACTTGGAAGGTGCCCACCAGGTGGGTAAAACTGTCGAAGACGGGCCCGTCCTTGGCCCCGTACATCGGCAACTCACGAATGAACTCGAGCAGCGCTGGCAGATAGCTGGCCGCTGGCCCTAAGTACTGCGAAAACTGAGGCGGCGACTCCAAGGCCTGGAGCACCGAGAGGATGCCCGACTGGCTGCCCGCTGACCAGAAGCCTTCGAAGTTACAAAGCATGTTGGCCAGCCACCTGCAAGCGAACAACTCATGAGACACGCTAGAGGCCCCCTGGGACGCCTGGTCTTTTTTCTTCAAGCTGGGCCTCCAAACCATTTGAGGGGGGCTTCCCTCTCGAGCCCCACACGGGCAAGACCTTGCCAGTGGCCGCGGACACCTCGCGCTCCGCAGCATTCGCCCAACGCTTATAAGCACGATCGAGGGCCTCTTGGGCCCTGTCCCAGCCCCCATGCCCCACCGCAGCCCTAGCCGACTCCAGCACCTCGTGGACCATCGTAGGCGCGGGAACCGCATCAAAAAAGCAAAGCAGGGGCCAGGGGGCAAGT